TACTGTATGCCAGCATCTATTAAAAGGGTTTGAGGGTAAACCACAATCCTGGGAGGCAGACAGTGTTGCTCCCATTTTATAGATGAAGAAACTGAGCCACAAAGGGGTCATATAGGTTATCATGGTCACAAGCCAAGCCAGGTGTTGAACTCAGTCAGGACTTAACTCAAGCTTGCCTGACTCCAAAACTTTTGGTCTTAGCATTTCTGGGCAGAACTAAAGTTCCTGGTGGTCTTAGACCCCCACCAAGTAGACACGGACATTATCTGGACTGTCAGCCCCCTCACTATTCTGAATAAGCCTGAGGAGCGTGTATGGACTATGCTTGTAGGAGCCGGTTCAATAACACCTTTTGCAAGGTTGGGGTCATGCTCAACTTTCGGGAACAGTAACAGTTCCGGATGACAGTTCCATAATTCCCTTTCAGATGCAAACTCAACTGCCAGTCAAGATTTTGGTAATACACATGGAAGAATTTTCATTTTTACAAGTGTGACTGAAGCTTTTCACCATGCAGTACGATGGCCTTTTTATGTTCTGCATATTCACTTTCCCCATACTTCCTGTGTAACATTCCCACTTTTAAAAGCTAAAACATTTGCGCCCATGTACAATTCGAGTTCTGAAACAATGCTGAAAATAGAGCATGCTTGCCAGTGAATTTCATCAACATTCGGGATGTGGTTACAGCATGCTAGACACCATCTAATTCTTTTACCAATACTAACTCCCTTCATCCCTCAGCCCTGTCAAAGACTTGTAGTTATGATCAGCTCCAGGTTACAGATGGAGAAACTGATGCTACAGAGAAGCTAAATGATGTGGCCCCCAAGTCACAGAGTTAAGGACGGGCCAAGTTAAGGTTCAAAGCCAGAGCCTGCCTCTGGGGCCATTCACGTGACTGCCAGCCTGCACGGCTGCTTCTGCTTACTGACCTTCTCTGTAGGTTCCTTGATCTCCACCCCGGTGGTCAAAGCCGGACCCTTTTAGGGACAGCTACTTATCTCTTACTCATCGGTTCCTTCCACAAACGTGCACTGGCTACTGTTTTGCGCATCTTTGTTTCCTGCCATGTCCCCATTTGGTTAAGACTTACTCTCTCCCCTCTGTACCCAACCCCCCCCCCACTCTGACTAGTCACTTCGGTGATGACCACACTCTTTATTGTGCCCCTGCACCTGACCATGAGCCTTAGGCAAGACTGGATGTTTGACTCAACCAGACTCCTTATGCTCACATGGTGAGTCTTGAACTGAGCAAGAATCTCCTCAAAATAGCCAAAGAGAGAGGGCATAAGATACAAGGCATACAAAGATAAAAGGCATAAGGGCTTTCAGTAAAGGAGAAGTGGGAGAGCCTTCTTGCTAACTTGCAGAAGTAGAAATCCAAGTTCAAGGGCAAGTTCCTTTTGTTCCTAAGACTCAGCCTCAGTTTTGCCCTTAGCTTCCCCGAGACACTGCAGTATCCTAGGATAAAGTCTGAGTTTTCTGAAGCTATGTTGAGTTGGGTATCAATCTGCCACCAGAGAAATCCAAATAAATATGGCTACCCCTTCCTTCCTAAGCCTGTGTTGGGTTCTGGAGGTGGACAGGACGCCGCTTTAGCTCTCAAGGTTTCACAGTCTAGGGAGGGTGACAGCCATCCAAACAAGAACTGTAAAACCCCTACAGTAGAATTTTTCAGAATATGTGGTTGTTTGATTCATTGGATGAGCAGGTGAAAATGGGGAACTATTGAAAAATTATACTTGAACATTTTATTTATGACTTAAACATGAAATAGCAAATGTATTATTTGGTCTCTTAAAATAAGGCCAGGACATTTATTTTTAGCTTTGATGTATTGTTTCTTATTGAGACCATAGCTAATTGTGCACCAGCCAAGACTTCTAGTTCCTTAAAAATGGAGCAGGAATTTAAAAGTACTTGCAACATTATCAGAGTGACTTTGGAATTTTTATCATTTTTCCCACAAATGTTCATGGCCACCTCATCCACATCTTAATTCAGTGGTGATGTTTTTGTTAGTCAGCTTTACCAAGCCTTCCCAAAGCATTCGATTCCATTTTCATACAAACAGCAACACTGATTCCTACTTGTTGAAAATTTTTAATATCTAATTAGAGTGAGCACACTCACAAATAAACTGACATAATTGCATTTGGGAGCAAGCTCAGAGGCTCCTGGCCAGCATGGGGCTGGTGTGGAATAGAAGCTGTGGGCATTAAGAGAGCTCCTTATGAGCTGGGGACTTTCAGCCCCGTAAGTGTCCAGCTGACAGGTGTGAGGGAGGGCAGTCTCTCTGAGTACCCACTGAGTCAGGTAATTCAGAGCATTGGTAAGTGGAGGTCATCCAAGAGAACTATTCCTGCATTCAATCAGAGGTTGGTGGTGGTTACCATCAGGGCAGAAACCAGTAGGTCAACATGGCAAAGGATTAAGGGGTGCTTCACGGAAGTGTTGTCACTTCAGCAGAGCAGTTGGAGAAGGCATCCCAGAGGCAGGTCCAGGCTGATTGGAGGAACGCATGGCTTATGTGAATAACAACCTGTTTTAGAACACTCAGGTGGCCAGCCTCCGGACCAGGAGTGAGCATATGCCTTCTTCCTGAGACTTGCCACCAAATGTTTAGGCTCTGCAGATCTGAGTTCTCCTCACTTGTTCTGTGCCTGGCTCTGAGTCTTGAAGACAGCCTGAGTAGAAGCCCAGCCTTCCTTCCTTTACCTTTCCAGCTCTTGCAAGTCTCCCAGGATCTCATCTGTGGCTTATGGAACAGTCTGCCCCAAGTCACTGGGTTCTCTGTCCACACTACTAGTGAGGGGCTGCCCAGACTTACTGTCATAGTGTTTGTCAAGCTCCTGCCCTTGCAGGACCTCTCTGATACCATGACTATCACTTCTTGAACCTGTTGTCTCTGAGACAGAGCCTATAAGCCCCCCAGTGAATTCAGGATCACATCTGTTTGTTCAATCCTGTATTCATAGCAGCTAACAGATTGGTCTACAGCAGAATCTCAGTAAACATGTGTGGAGTGAATGAATGAGTGAATTTCAAAAGAGACAGTATCCCATAACCTCAGTACTTGCTGATCCGTTCCCCTGTGGCTGTGACACCCTCTCTAGCTTTCTACAGGACTGTTCCTCCTGCCCTTCAGATCCCCACTCCAGTCACCACGTAGGGTCCTTCACTGACTATTCAGCTAAAGCAGCCACCAGCTCCCCTTCATCATCTCTTCCAGGGTCTGTTTATTACCTCTAGAACACTGGCTCTCCAGAGGCAAGTACCATGTTGGGTTTTGGTTTCCTACTGATTCTCCACGCCCAGCACTGCACCTGTCACATGGCACCTTCCCCTTAGCATGGTAACTGAATGAATAAATGGCTGAATTATGATCCAAGTTCCAGTAGAGGGGTAGGAGGGAGACCACAGGCATGGTGTGAGTTTTCACCAAGCATTTGCCAAGTGCATGACTTTGGACTGCTGGATTTCACATGCACTCTTTGGATCTCAGGATCCTAATATGTAAAATGGGATGAACATTGTACTTACAGCCTCCTACAATTAATACGAGGTTTTGATTAAACAGTAGGTACAAAGCATTTGGTGTGCTACAGTGTGAGTGGTCAGTAAAAAAGAAGACACTGTCTATAACCCCAGAGTAGGTCTCTTACCAGGGCTTATACCTTCACTTTGCCTGCCATAGAGAGAGGTCAGTGAGATGTCTCTCCATTTGCAAGAGTCTAGGGGAGTGGTGAGTTCTTCCCAAAGCCATTAAGAATCACTGCTGTTTGTAAGCCCAGAAGTGCTGCCTACATGGGATGCCTGCCTTTTCCTCCCCCAGGACAAGCATCTGCATAAGATAATCTCCTGAATCCCTCACCATCTTTCATCTGCACAGACTCTGCTGGCCACAGTAGGGAATCCAGTCATGAGCTGGGCACCATCGCTGCCATCTCTTTGTTCACTGTTAGTTTAGGAAGCATTTATTGAGCACCTACTATTTTCAGGCACTGAATTCTCCTCAAAGCTGTGATTAGCACCTACTCCCATCCAACAACAATGCACGAGCAGGGCCATGGATACCGGGGAAACTGGCAAATAGCGCTAATGAGGACAAAATGGACATGATGCAGGGTCATTTTCAAGAACCATGTTTCTCAGTCTCACAATGAGGCAGCTTTCAAGAGAGGAGAAGCTTCATCATATGAAGCTCCTGGGGCACTTCACTGATAAAGCCTTTTGCATGGGAGCAGAGTCAAGGAGAGCAGAGAAGAGGGTGGGAGTTCACGTCCGGCCCATCACAGGTTTTATTTCATAGAATGTTCACAGCAACCCTGGGAAGCAGATGATTTTATTGCTATTTGCCAAATTAGGAAACTAAGACACAGAGATGACCAAGCTCACCTAATGCTGTGATTGTTCGTAATGGAGACAGGGTCCAAACCCTGATTATACCCCCCAAAACCAGGGCCTTCCCAACTACCACCCCCCAAAAATCCCATCGGAGAATAAGTTGATAAAGGATTTCCTCCTCTCCCTGTACTCTCTCCTTCTTGCACTACACAGGGCTGGCTCATTCTAAGCTTTCTGCTATCAGCGTAAGCATCAGTCCATCCCAAAGGTCCTTTCTATCCTGGTTTGAATCATGTCATGCTCTGATCATGACCTGTTCTTGTCTGGCACTTGTCACGTTTTGTGAATGTGTATGGGTACATTTGAGTGGGTATTATTGAATGCTTGTATCCCTGTTAGCATGTAAGCTCCCCATAGTAGGGCCCCCATTCATTTGGATCACCACTATCTACCCAGCATCCTACATGGTGCCTGGTACATAACACATGCTTGGTAGATATTGGTTGTGTTCAAGAATGGCATGAAGTTAGCAATTCCTCAAGAAAGTCAGCCAAGAGGCCCAAGACTTCTGTGTGGTGCATACCTCCCCCATCTCAGACTTGCTGGTCAACCTTAACAAGCCTGTCCCTCTGCATTGCTTTGTTCCAGGAACGGCTTGTGCTGTCTGTGCTCCCCCGCTTTGTCGTCCTGGAAATGATCAATGACATGACCAATGTTGAAGATGAGCACTTGCAGCACCAGTTCCATCGGATCTACATCCACCGTTATGAGAACGTCAGGTAGGGACTGCGGCAGCCTCCCCCCAGCTCCGTGTGTGATCTGGGTGTGTGCCTGGATGCTCCCATCTGACTGCCGTGACTTCTGTCTGCCTGAATGTCAAAGCCTTTCTACATTTTGTTGATTAATTAATTAACCAGTGATTATTCATCACAGAATACCTTTCCAAATTAAGGCTCAAGGAGAATGTCAGGGAAATGTAATTATATTGGCTTGCCTTGCCTTTATATTTCAAGTGGAAAAACAAAAGCCTTTTACATTATGATTGGAAAAAAATAATTCCCAGATGTGATCTGGAGACCTCAGGAGTGATCACATAGCTCTTCTCCTTAAATCCCTTATAACTTTCTTTAAACCAATATAAAAATGATTACAGCTGATTTTTATTTTTATTTTATTCTATTTTTAAACATATTTTTGTCCAGCCATCCATCCATCCATCTACCCATTGACCCAACTACCCACTCCCCGTCCACCCAACCTACTCATCCATTCATCTATCCATGCTTGCACCCAACTACCCACCTACCCACCCATCCAACCATCCACCTACCCATCCACCCAAATACCCACCCACCCAGTCATCCACCCATCTACCCATCTACCCACCCACTCATCCAACCATCCACCAACCCATCCACCGAATTATCCATCCACCCATCCTTGCACCTACCCACCCTTCTACTCATCCATCCATCAGTGCCCTCTGCCCAGAACTGCCCTGGACAATATAGTACATACTGAAAAATCAGAGGTCGGGGTTCCTTGATGAGGCAGGCCAGATTTAAAATTCCAATTCTACTTATTCCTTGTGTGTGACCTTGGGCGATTTACATAGCTCAATCTCTAGACCCTTCCCTGTAAAATGGCATTTTAATAACCACCTTGCTGGGGTTGATGCAGATGATAGGAGTGAAGATATATACGAAGCACAGAATAGGGGTGAGCATATGGTAGAGCATTGGACATACTGTAGATCGCTTCAGACATGTCTCCTAATTATAAGTAAAACAAGCTAACCCTGGTTAATTTAAAAGCCTGTATTGTATGGAGCACTGGGCATGATGCATAAACAATGAATCTTGGAACACCGAAAAAATAAAATTAAATTAAAAAAGAAAAAAAGAAAAAGTCTATAGATAGGCTGAGTAATGGCTCACAGAATAATTGGGGAAGGATGGAGAGGCAGGCTCAGCAGATGGGCCAGAATCACAGCAGAGCCCTAGGCCAGTGAGGATCCTGACTTCACTGTTTCTGCAGAATCCACTGCTTGTGCTCCCAACTCTGTCGCCTTCCCCAGCACAGTTGTCACCTCTTGGATTCCTCCTGCAGTCCCCTAGGACCTGGATGTGGCTGCCTCTGCCCTACCCCAACCCCCTGCTCCCTCTGCCTCTTTGCACTGTGAGTTAAAGCCTAGGGTAGATGTGGCTGATTGGCTTAGCCCAGTCACTCACCAGAAGTGCAGATTTTTCATGAGAGGATTAATAAACTAAGAACATTTTTTAAAAAGTGCCTGGAAAACAGATATATCTGACATTTCAGCTTGTACAGTAGAATTATATCTCCCTTCCACTAAATATTATAGGGTGAAAATTCCCAAATGTAGGGGGAAAATTTTTATGTTAAACAGCTCGAAAACTGACCACTGTACCTTCTTGGTTCCTTTCTTCCTGACTTTGGTCAGAGGGAAGAACAACTTTTCCTTCTTACCAGCCTCTCTGGGCATTCAGCTGGCATGCTGGGACACTCATGTGAAAGGAAGTCCAGCAGAAAGCATGGCTCTAACCCAGCAGGAGTATCCGTAGAGGTCATTATCAGAGTTTTGTCCAAAAATAAAACTACGCTGGTTAAGATGCCTGGGTTTGTAAAGCAGCCTTTTGTCAAATAGCCACTCCCATAAAAGATACTCCCCAGATCCACAAATTGGTCCCATTGATAATGGGAACTCATTAAGACCAGTTGTAGACAACAGGAAGTATCTATAATTATAATACAGTGTGGGATTCTATTTTTATTTATTTTTTTATTGTATTAGGTTAATCACCATAAAATACATCATTAGTTTTTCATGCAGTGTTCCAAGATTCATTGTTTATGTACCACACCCAGTGCTCCACACAATATGTGCCCTCCTTAATACCCACCACCAGGCTCACCCATCTCCCCAACTCCCTCCCCTCCCAAAACCCTCAGTTTGTTTCTCAGAGTCTGCAGTCTCTCACAGTTCATCTCCACCTCTGGTCAAGTAAGCAAAGGGTACAAATAGATCATAAAAAGAATAAGACCTAGAGTGAGGAAGGAGATCAGGGTGAGAGAATACGGGAAACCTTCCTAAAAGAGATGAATCTTATTTGCCTTATTGAATATTGAATCAGCTTAGTGAAAAATATAAAAGAAAAGGAATCCCAAACCAAGGGATTAGTACAAGTGAAGGCTGAAAGTGAGATCTATCTGTCTATATCTGTATCTCTATATAACATATAACATTAATTATGTATATATGATTATTATTATCTGATATTAATGATTATCATTATATATACATACATATGTATATATGAAAAGAATATTATGAAAGTGCCTATCACCATAGAGAAAGTGATGGTAGGGGAGGAATAATTACCCTTAATAAAGAAAATAAAGGAAAAAAACAAATGAGACTATACACCCACACCAACATACTTAGGAGCCTTAAGTTCAATAAATGACATGTTTGGCTTTCTTTTTGCATCAACCCATTTTCAGTGCTTCCCTTAGTCAAGAACAACTGAAGTGACTTCTCTCTTCTCCACCTCACCCGTTTATTTTAAACCATTAAACAGAGTTCTTAATCTTGAGACAGACCCTCTTGCAGAAGTGCACACTGCACTAAATTAGAATTCAGTTTGCTGCCCTGCATTTCTCAGCGGCCTCACCCCACGGCAAAGAAGCTGTTCCTAGCAGGAGAAGAGTCTGCAGATACCTACTGCCACATTGGGCCTCTCTGGCCATCACAGAGGTGGTGGGCGGGGGGGTGATGGATGGCAGCGGGATGCCCACAGCTCCCTCTGGTTTTGGGAAGATGACCTCTGGGAGAGGCAGTGGAGCCCCTCCAGCCCACTGCAAGGCTGTTAGTTGCTAAAATAAGACCAGAGATGAGAACCAGACCAGCCGCTCTGCCCTGTTCAAGCCACCAGAGCACACCAACTGCCATGGAGAGAACATATTTTTAATTATTTCCCATCCTGTGTCTGTCTCTTCAGGGCAACCCACCGATTTCATTCTTTCTTCTCTGTTGTTTCTGTTGTTTGTCGTTTGGTGACCCTTCCCCAAAAATGGTCTGCTGTAAGCATCAGACTCTGGGTTACAATTCCTACGATGTGTATATAGGGGTACATGTATCACTGCAGGGTATGAGGAGGCATGTACGGGGACCGGGACCCGTGGGTTAGGCACATTCTCTGAGCCACGTCTCCTGCTAGACTTTGGCTGCATCATTTCATCTTTTAGGGCCTCATATTCCTAATCCAAAAACTGCACTGTTTGCAATAAACAAACAATTTGGATTCTCATGTTGATTTCAGCTCTGTGCATCTGAGACTTCCCTAGATTCTCTCTGGAGACCCACTTGGCCACTTGATGTTTCACTGGAAGCCTTTTGGGCTTCTGGTCCCTCCCACCCCAGCCCCATTCTATTTATTTCTCTTATTTTTTCCCATATATTTAAGGCACTTACAGTATTCAGGGTAATACTGTCTGCTCTAACAAATCACTTCTCAATTCCATCAATTTAAACTCAATAACATTTTTTCACACAACAGCCCACTTCTGATGCTCCTGGTTGGTTAGTGACTCAGGGACAAAGGTCCCTGAGTTTTATATCTGTGCCCTTGCCTAAGCCTCAGAGTTTTTGGCATTCAGCTCCTGGAGGAAAAAGTATAGAAAAGGCACACCTGCTTCTTCATCATCTTGGCCCAGAGATGACACATGTCACCTCTGTTCAGATTCCATTGATGAGACCATGACTGCATGGCCCTACCCAGACATGAGAGGAGAACAGAGTCCCCAGCTCAGTGGTCTTTCCTAGTGATGGGAAACATGGATTTGGAGGATGTTAGCGTCCCTCCCAAAGCTCCCTTCCCCTTCCTCTTGCCCAGCCCACACCATGTATGTTGGTACATTTGCTGGTGAACATTGTTTGGATCTACTCAGGAGGCAGATTTGTCTTTACCTCTCTCAGTGATAGAGTAGAGAGTTAGACAGTAGAACCTTCATCAGGGATCAGAAAACCCTAAATTTTAGAGGCTTACTCAGTCTACCTGCTTTCTGGGCTGACTGTTCTTTCCAGCCAACCCTGTCCACATGTGAGGCCACCATATTGGCTATGTAGACCAGAGTTTCATGTACAAGCAAAATGAAACTGAATGGGTCCAGAGAACCTGTTGGCTGGAGAGACCTGTCTGCATGGCAATCTATTAAACACTCCCTGATTCCCAAAAATTTCCCCAAAGACTAACATACCCTCCACTTATCAAGGACTATGTTATGATTTAGAAGTTACCCACTTGTATGTAATGATGCAGAGTTGCTTCAGTAATCTCTTCTTTATTATCAAGAAAATGGAAGCTCAGAGAGTAATTAAATAAACTTCCCAAGGGCACACAGTTAGGAAGAAGTATCTACCCAGGACCCATGTTCCTAACGATTCTTTAGAACTATGCTAAAGCTTTCTTGAAGTCTCTCTATTTGCAGTGTCTATTAGGTAATAACACTTATTTTTAGCCAAGTAAAAAACTTATATAAGCAAATTAGATTTGAAAATTAACATGGTATCTTCAATACATGCTAAAATGAACACACTCTAAGATGATTACCATGGGAAGTTCCAAGTTCATACCTAGAGTCAAGAGATCAGACCTGGAACTCACCACTTGTTCAGACACCATTGCATGAAGTACTGTGTGTTCAGGAGACCACAAGAAATTTGATGATATTGGATCACTAAGCATATCTGAAACTCTTTTGACCTTTGGTCTCTGCAAATCCATTTCTTCTTTAAGTAAGTTGCATGCCTCATAAGGGATGTGATGGTTCTATCTACTCACCAACGTCATTCCACCACCTTGCACAAGTAGGCATTCCACTAATTAGCCACTGAATGAATCAATGGACTGTTCTTAGAATAGACAGATATTAATAGTTTTGGGTGAATGGATCTATTGAGTGGGTTGGACTAGATGACCTATGGGCCCTTCTACTTCTACCTGCCATGGCAAAGACCATCCTTACTTCAAATGTAGCATACCAGAGTGATAAAGTACAGATTCCAAAGCCAGGCTGCCGGGTTGAAATCCTAGCTTTTCGTGTCCATGGGCAAGTTACTCAGGTCTCAGGGTCCTTATCTGTAAAATGGAGATGGTCACAGTAGGTCCTACCTCATGGATTGTTATGAGAAACCAACAGGTTAATCCTTTGGATTAACCTTAGGACAGTGCACAGTAGATACTCTGTAAATACAGTTGCTCCTCTTATTCCCATTTGTGTCAACAGTTAGGAATTCTTTCAGCTGTAGGTAAAAAATGATCTAATCACTGGTCATACTTTCTCCTCTGATACCTCTCTTCTCTCATTTTCTCTCAAATACAATCATTCAATTCTAGTACATTTTTGTGCAATAATAAAAAGAGCTAACACACTTACGGAAAACCTACTGTGCCAGGAACCGTACTAATAAGCACTTGTTATCCACCAACAAGGCAGGTACTAGAATTATCTCTGGCTCACAAATCAAAGGCTTAGAGAAGTTCAGAAGGTTACCCAAAGTCCTGCTATTCATAACTGGTGAGCTGGGCTCTGAACTCTGAGCTGTCTGGACTCAATTCTTATACATTTTGTCCTGTGTACTGGGAAGATGTTGTGCTATCGGAACCTTGTACAGGACAGTGACTGTGGACTTACTTGCCCAGAAGAAACTGTATACACTAGAAATCTAAAGGCATCAGGCCCATGCTTACACCCCTTCACTGGCTTTCCATCGCTTTCCAGACAAAGTCTGTATTCTTGAATCTGGCTTACCAGCCCATTTCCAACATTGCCCTACCCCACATCTCTAACACACACATTTTTTCTCTCCCTTCTTCTTTTCCCCACCCTGTTGCTCAGTGTTACCCTCTGACCAGCTACCCTTGAATTCTTGCAGATCTGTGGTACATTTGCCCCACTTCTACCAGACCCTAACAGGTGCCGATTGCTCTGCTCAGACCACCCATCCTGCTCACTTTCCCATCTGTCTGGTCACATAGGTCCTTCAAAACTCAGCTGAGACTTCGCTGCATCAGGAAATTCTTGATCCTCTGTGACTGGTCATCCCCCAGTGTGTCCTTCTGTCAGAGTACAGTTGTCCCCCTGTTATCCATGGTTTCAGTTTCCCACAGTTGACAGTAGTCCAGAAGCAGATGACCCTCCTCTGACTCAATGTCAGAAGGTAAACAGTAGCCTCACACTAGAAGGCTAGTGTGATTCCCCTCTCACTTCATCTGATTATGTGGGCATTTTATCATCTCTCAACACAAGAACAGTGGGTACAGATGTTTTCAGAGAGAGACCACAGTCACATAACTTTTGTTACAGTATATTGCTACAATTGTTCTATTTAATTACTATTATTGTTAATCTCTTGCTGTGCCTAACTTAGAGATTAAACTCTATCATATGCATGTATAGGGGGAAAAAAACAGTCTCTATAGAGTTCAGTACTATCTGCAGGTTCAGGAATCCCCTGGGAGTGTTAGAATGGATCCTCCTCCCCTACGCCACCATTCCCTGATAAGGAGGGGATGCTGTATTCATCTCCTGTGTTGTTTCTGGCTTTATCCTTGTCTGGCCAAACTCAGTCCCTACACTGTGAGCATCTTGAGGACACACACTGCATCTTTTTAAATCATTTAATCAAACTTCCTAGTGCAATGTGTAGCTATACACATGGTAGATGTGCAAATATTTGCTAAAATAATGGAGGCATTACATAATTAATTCAAGCAATAGTTGTCGTTGCTGTTTTTTTTTAAATCAGGGCCGGATGATTCCTAATCAGTCCATAAATGGGTTTCGGGGAAGGTGCAAATTCCTTGAAATGAAGTGTAAAATTGTGAATACTTGTGCATTTTTGAGAGAATTCATAGCCTCTATCAAATTCTTAAAAGGGTTTGTAATGGAGATAAATTTAAGAACCACCGAATACTGAGGTTGGTAACCAGTGTAAGTCAACATACATTCTACAATGTCTTCTGGCTAGTTAACCTATCCCATTAAAACTAAGTTACATTGATTGTAAGACTCACCATTATTTTATGCAACACTAAGAAAAATAAAAACAAAAAATTAGCACACTGCTAAGATGGTATCCTAACTTCAAAGATGATACAACATGAAAAGTACCTCTGCTGTTTTTTATGTTCTTTTTTTATTTTAATTCCAATATAGTTAACACACAGTGTTATATTAGTTTCAGGCATACAATATAGTGATTCAACAATTCTATACATGACTCAGTGCTCATCACAGTAAATGGACTCTTAATCCCCTTCACCTATTTCACCCATTCCCCACCCACCTCCCTTCTGGTGACCACCAGTTTGTTCTCTAGGGTTAAGAGTCTGTTTCTTGGTTTGTCTCTCACTCTTTTTCCCCTTCGCTCATTTTTTGTTTGTTTCTTAAATTCAACATATGAATGAGATCATATAGTATTGGTCTTTCTCTAACTGACATATTTCACTTAGCATTATACTTTCCAGCTCCAACCATGTCATTGTGAATGGCAAGATTTTACTCTTTTTAAGGGCTGAATAATGTCCTATTGCATATATACACCACATCTTCTTTATCCAGTTGTTCATTGATGGACACTTGATCTACTTCTATAATCTGGCTATTGTAAATTATACTGCAATAAACATAAGGGTCTATATTTTTTTCAAATTAATGATTTCCTGTTCTTTAGATAAATACCCAGTTGTGAAATTACTGGATCATTTAATTTTGGGGGGATTCCATACTGTGTTTCACAGTGGCTGCACCAGTTTGCATTCATACCAACAGGGCACGAGGCTTCCTTTTGCTCTACACAGCGGGGCCTCCACTCTTGCCTGGGTCCCTGAGCTGGTGCAGTGAGGTGGGATGGAGCATGCCCTACAGTTTAAGTGGACAACCCCAACTCTGCCATGTGCTATGTGGGGACTATTAGGCAAGTCTCCTTGCCTCTCCAAGCCGCAGTTTGCTCATCTTCATGGTGGAGTGGCATCCTCACATATTCACTGGGTGGACGAACTAAAGCAGTGTTCATACAGTGCTTTGCTTTCAGAAGGCTTTCAAGCACTAACCCCTTCCCTTATGCCAAACATATGCAGAGCTATGACCTGACCTCACTTAAATCCTTAGTCAATGTGAGAGTTTTAGGCCATGAACTATTCTGCCTGAGGTCTCCCAGCTCTGCTACCTAGTCTCATAATTTTTGAAAAATGCCACCTTCTATTTGCCTGCAATTTTAGGTATGTCATTTGCTGGAGAGAATGAGATTTTTTTTTTTTAATTCTTTGTTCCCCTGTTTTAATTTCACACTGTGCTCATGGGATCTGCATTGTTGTTCATTGTGAAAATAGGTAATTCATAAAGCTTCATTTTGCTTTCCACAACACATTGATGTGTTCATAGTGAAAAATTCCCTTTGGGGTTGTTTTCATTGCCCACACTCCATGGTTCTGCGCAGGAAGAAGGGCTTTCCTTTGCCCCTTTGTCCTTCCCGAACCCCTGGGTGGACTCTGTCTGCTGAGATATTTGTTAAATACTGACACATTCCTCCTGACTCTCATGGCAGGGAGAGCTAGAATCTCAGACCACGGTTGAGTTACTTGGATGGTGTTGATGTCTTCCAGGATGGAGTAAAATATTAATACGCTTCCTCCCCACCCCATCCCTCCCCTGTTGTCTAGTATTCTTTTCGCAGATGTTAAAGGATTTACCAACCTCTCCACGACCTTGTCTGCCCAGGAGCTAGTCCGGATGCTCAACGAGCTCTTTGCCAGATTTGATCGACTGGCTCATGTGAGTTGAATTTAATTCCCTTCTAGTCTTTTGTGGGAGTGAGGGACTGCATGTGAAATTAGGGAGAGGAGAACTTGGGCTTCTCACCAATATCTCCTGTCCTGCTTCCTTTTCCCTGGCATGGACCCCCAAGCTCCGCACCTTCTAGGGAGCAATGTTAGTTATTTACAGATCTCGGAGGGGAGGTTTGTCAGATTAATTTTCCCAATTGAGTGATAGCTGGTTGAGTGATATTTAAGCCAAAACCTTTCTTATCTGTTTTCTGGTCCCTCCCCCCATTACGTCCCCCTTCGTGTGGCCAGGTGCCACCCAGCTGCAGCCTCAGTTTGGTTCAGGCAGTGATGGCTGCCTGCAGCTTCCCGGCCAACTGCCGCCATCTGAAACGAATTAGCCTGTTCTTAAGAGCCAGTAATCCACTGGACCACCATTTTGTTTGGCCTAACCTAACAGCTTTGTTTTTAGCTGATAGGACACTATCTTTACTTTTCAGCTGGCTCGAGATAACGGGCTAAAGGAGATGGACATTTGCTCTCAAAATGCAGATTCCTAGTCCTTAAGCATGCAAGTTGCAGAAGAACATCATTGTCACACTGTGTTTCAGAGTGGGCTTTAGGTCCAAACAGGCATGCCTTAATTTCCTTCTTTGTAAAGTGTGTTTCTATCAGTGCCAACTTCACCAGGCTCTTGAGAGAATCCTGTGCAACAACATCAAGTGGAAGTTCATTGTTCAGAGCATCCAAATGTCCGAATTTAAGGCTGCCTGCCTCCAAGGAGAGCCATTCAGATTTGCATCTGAGTACCTGCTCAGTGCTGTGCACTGTGCTATGTGTCGTGAGTGTAAGAATAACAAAAACACACTTTGTCCTTCCTGGAATTAAGTCTAGCCAGAGACACATCAATAAATGATCAATGCACAATCTGTTGTGTGTATGATGAGGGTTAAATCTGGGATGTTGTAGGAAGGTAGACTCTGCAATAACCCTTGCATCAAAGAAGACTTTCCAGATAAAGTGATTCTTAGACTGAGTCTCAAAAATGGGAAAACGAATACAATGGAATAGTATTCAGCAACAAAAAGGAGTAAACAACTGAGACACGCAGCAATATCAGGGAATCTCCAAAGCAATATGCCAGGTGAAAGAAGACAGACCAAAAAGCCTAGATACTTTATGATTTCATTTATAAGACATTCTAGAAAAGGCAAAATTATAAAGGCAAAAAAGAGACAAATGGTGGCCATGCATTGGAGGTGGATGGAGCAGATTGATTGCACAGAAGCTTGGGTGCAGTGGGTTGGGGAGTGATGTTGCTCTCCACAAGTGAGCAGGACTGTACACTTCATCAAAATCAACAGTTATTATTTATAAATTATAAATATTTATTACTTATAAAAAATTTATTATTTATAAATTATACACCAATTAGCAAAGTGAAGAAGACAGGGACAGTCATTTTTTTTTTAAGATCTCTTTATTTATTTGAGAGCATGAGCAGGAGGAGCAGAGGGAGAGAATCTCAAGCAGACTCCAGGCTAAGCGCAGAGCCTGACATAGGGCTCGATCCCAGAACCATGAGATCACAACCTGAGCTGAAACCAAGAATTGGATGCTTAACCAACTGTACCACCCAGGCACCCCTAGCAGAGAAGGTCATTTTATACCAAGGGAGAGTGAAAATAAAGATGCTACCTTGTATGTGTGGGGAAACCAGAAGGGATTCAGCTTTGTGAGAGGAGCAGGTGAAGGTAGGGAGGGATGGAGATGAAGTTAGGGAGATGGCCAAGGACCTGCCAAGGAACCCGCCTTGTAACCTGTAGCTACTGGACAGCTATAAATAAGAGGCTTGACCTGGCAGAGGAGGAGGGGAAAACCAAGCCCCCTCCCTACTCCCCCCTGCCACCTCCTAAGGAGAAGGGTTGAGTTTACCAGAAGGACTGGGAATTTGGAGGTGGGGAAGAACGTATCCCATTTCCTTTACTGTTTTACCTCTGGGGTCTTGGTGCCAGTTACAATAGTTATTCTACTTCATATTATGGTTCTGACTATTTCCACTCAAAGACCTCAGATGACCAAAAATGGTCCTCCAGTGAGAACCAACAGATGTGATCAGGGTCAATTTTTAGTGTCATGATAAACTCCACTGACCCCGGGACAGGGTTGCTAAGTAAAATCTAACCCAGGTTGTTCAACTAACATTTATTGCTAGGTACCGTGCAAGACTCTGGCAAGACAAAACCCATCCTGGACCTCAGGAAGCTCATGTCTGGTAAAGGGAGAGCAGATCCATAGGAACTGCAGGGCACAATGTTCAGGCAATAACAGGTGCAGAAGTCCTGGGGGAGGAAGGAAGGAGCAGCCAGTGCTTGGATAGTGGGGGTGGGGGCGGAGCACAGTGGTGATTTGGTAGCACCCAGAGAAGTTGCTGTGTGCAGGCTGGGTCTTAAGGAAGAGCAGAAGCTTTCCTGGTATCAGATTAGACCAAAGAGAACAAACAGAAATACCTTCTAGGATGAGCTGTGGTGTACACATAGGCAAGTGTGAAAATTCAAGAACATGCTGCTTGTTTGAGGAGCTCTAAGAAGCTAAAGATTGGGGCTCCTGGGTGGCTCAGTCAGTTAAGTTTCTGCCTTCGGCTCAGGTCATGATCTCAGGGTCCTGGGATGGAGCCTTGCATCGGGCTCCCTGCTTAGCCGGGAGTCTGCCCTTCCTTCTCTCCCTGCCTTTGCACACACACCTGTGCTCTCTCTCTCTAAAAAAATAAATAAAATCTTAAGAAAAAAAAAAAGAAGCTAAAGATTACTAGAACTTCAAGGGCAAGGAAACTGTAGTGCAAAAGGAGCTTGGAGAGGAAGCAGAAGTACATTTGGAGGGCATGGTGCAACTTTTAAGGGATGTGAACTTTGTCCAGTAATCCCTGTAACTGAGCCTTCTCCCTGGTCACCTTACACACGATGTGGGGGGAGGAGGGAGACAGGGTACACAGCCTATTGGTCCCCAGGGGGTGCAAGAGGCTATCATCCATCTTCTGGGATGAGTCTTACTGAAATTTTAAGATAAACTTTTTGGAGGAAAAAAAAAAAACAAATTAAGTACAGATCCATGATGAAGTAAAATTATTATTAATTTAATAAGACTATTAAATGTTCATCAACTGCCTGGTGTATGCTACTTACTGTTATGGGTCTTTGTCCTGGAACCTCAATTCAGTTCTCACAATAGACCGACGGAACTTATTGTTCCCATTTTTCAGAATGAGTGACTGAGGCTCAAAGAAGTAATCTTCCTAGAACCACTGGTAGGTGGGTATATCTGTGATTCTGGACAACTGGGCCAGGTGTTTGATTTTTTTTTTTAAGATTTTATTCATTCATTTGAGAGAGATCAAGAGCACAGGAGGAGAGGGAGAGGGAGAAGCAGGCTCCCCGCTGATCAGGGAGCCCAACTCAGGGCTCGATTCCAGGACTCTGGGATCATGACCTGTGCAAAAGTCAGACAGTTAACTGATTGGGCCACCCACAAGTGCCAGAAGTGCTCCCTCGTGACCCCCAGCAATGCCACAGGCATTTCAGGAGACAGAACAGAGGACATTGGCAGATGTGTTGCTACCCTTGTGGGTGCTTGAAGGGTTAGACTCATGGGACTTCAGGTATGGGCTGGACTTGAATGTTGTACCTGTGCAAATCTCTCTATGTGTCTGCATTTTCTATCAGAATTGCAACAGAGGATAAATGAGGAGGGGGAAAAGACAAAACAAAACACATGAAATGTCTCTTAACCTAGATAGAGTCTGTCTCCAAATAAGTACTCAGTACCTGTTAGTGCTCCGTAGCTCTGACCCCCACCCTGGGTGCATCAGTATCTACTACTCTAAGGGACCTCCCTGGAAGAGTTTGACAAACGCTACCAATGAGAACAATTCCACTCACCTGGGAATGAGGAAACCTACTTTCAGGGGTTTTTTGCCCCCAACGGTGGACCACTTAACCAACAGTGTTAAACTCTGCTTCTGTATAAAAGGGTTTTAGAGTGGGCCCTTTTTGCATTTTTTTAGCATCAAAATTCTGTGGCTTTATAAAGATTCTCTCTCTGCCTCACCATGATTTTTCACTGTAGATTTTGTTTACGTTGCATATCAGAGAGAATTCATCTTGCATGTGAATTTCACACACTGTACCTGTTTCTCTACTGCATTATTGAAATGCAGGAAACTTCAAAGCTTCCTCTAAAAATTCCTTTTAGTTTGATTGAACTCCTGAGAGCCCTTGTGGTTCAGGCTGCTCAGAATAGAGCTGTTGTTTGTTTGTTTTCTTTTTCTTTTTTTAAGATTTTATTTATTTATTTGAGATAGAGAGAGAGCGCATGAGTAGGGGAGAGGGAGAGGGAGAGAGAGACACAGATTCCCCGTTGAGCAAGTGGACAGATGCGGGATTCAATCCCAGGACCCCGGGATCATGACCTGAGTCTAAGGCAGATGCTTAACCAACTGAACCTCCCAGGCGCCCCTGTTTTTGTTTTTTGACCCTTAATAGTGCCCTTGGCAAATTTTGTAGCTTTCTGTCTTTGATCTTTTTTTTTTTTTTAATAATCTCTGCCTACCCCTCACCCACCGGAATCAGGAATGAAGAATTTGCATACTATTATAAAGGTTTTAAAATTGTAAAACAAAGAACATATTTATGGTTACACAGTTGACACGATTGCATCTTAAACCTTATTTTAAATTGCTGACAAACTGGAAGCAACCTAAATTATTGCAGGAATAAATAAATCCAGCACTATGGAAAGTGAATAAACAGATTAAAAAGAATGAGCTAGCCATTTTTGTACTGACATAGAATTTCAAGACCTGTTTTGCCTGAAAAAAGCATGTCTCAGATCTATAAGCATATAATACGTTTATATGTTTATGTTATATAACATATGTAATATAGAGTTTAGAGTATAGTTTCTGCGCATGAAAAATAGTACATATATATAAACACGTAAGGTACATTCGGATGC